CCTGGGTCTGCTCCAACATGGGCTCAACATGCTGCAGAAGGGCTGGCTGGGGCACAAGGGTGCTCCAGTGTGGGACTAGCCAGCAGCCTGCCCTCACACTGAAGCACCCTCATGCCCCAGGCATCCCTGTCAGCATCTCCACATGCACTGCTTACGAGTAAAAAAAACAAGTACTATCTGGCTGCAGTTTAAATCTATGCTTGCCATGGGTGCTATTACAGTATATAACCAGTCGGTGGCAGGTTGCCACTGGGCAAAGTTACCCTTGGATGATACTGACTAGGGGAACAGACATACAACCGAAACACCTCCTTGCTTTGCATAACTTTACAGGCAGTCCTTGGACTTATGACACAATTGGTTCCTGAAAACCACGTCTTAGGTAAAATGTAACTCAGAACCAATTTTCTTATAAGAAACAAAGTTATAAATGGGGGATTGGTTCCTGAACCAGGCCTGATACCCTATTTTCACCAAAAATACCCCAGAATTTTGTACTCGATCAATTATAGATGAATAATATAGCTACATTAATCTATTTATATTGTAAATAGCAATCATTGACTTGGAAGGACTTCTTTGAGGTGACTTTGTCGGACTTTTTGAAGGGCTCTTGGTTGGACTTTTTGAAGGGTTCTTGGCTGGAGTCTTCTCAGGAGTCTTGGCTGCAGGTTTTTCTGGAGTCTCGTCTGCTTTCTTAAAGAAAGTGTTCAAGGAAGTTTGGACAGATGCGCTCCAGGGAGATGAGCAACGCAGTGAACTTGTTCACTGGTGTGGCGTTACATCGGATCAAGCATTGTAAGTAGAAACTGACATCATCAAGTTGAAACAGGGTGTCAATTTATAAACATTGTAAGTGCAAAACGTTGTAAGTCAAGGACTGCCTGTACTCTGCAGTGGCTTAAACAGGTAAGGCTGTGAGTCATGTGCCTGCTCCACTTTTATTGTGGAGCAAAGTCAGTTTACTCCATAGTAAATGTGCATAGTAAAATAAAGTAAATTTCACTTTATTGCAAAGTGAAATAAACCATGTCCAAACAAAAGCATTCTTAAGACGTTTACTGCACAGCTGACTAATTAGCTGTACAGTAAATGCCTCGCGTGCACCCCTATTAGGGAGCATGAAGCTAAAACTCCACAACAGGGCAGGACTTGTAAATACAAGTACTATCCTGCTGCAGGGTTTTCATGTGTAACAGCGCATATGTAGCTGCTGAGCTGGCTGGCTGGAGCACAAGGGTGCCTGTTGGCTAGCCCCACACTGAAGCACCCTCAGGTTCCAGCCAGCCCCTCTGCAGCACAATGAGCCTAGTAGGAGCAGCCCTGCCTGCCAGGGGTGCTGCAACTCAGCTCAATGTGCTGCAGTCCAGGCGCATGTGTAAACCGGGTGCCTTGGAGCTTCCCAGGAGCAATAAACTATGGAACAATAAGCTCTACAGTTTAGTGCTGCCCCCTAATGGCACATGTAGATGTGCCCATTGAGAGTACACAGATGGCAAGTGACTATGGAGCAGCTATTGTGCTGTAAATTCACAGCATAGGCTTACTATGCAATGGCTTCTTTACCAGTGTGGTTAAGTCTTTAAGCCCCTGAATTGAACATTTTTTGAAGTAGTATTTTTGGTCAAAATGAGTATCAGGCATAACTTGTACTTTATAAATCTGTGCCATTTACAAAATGCACTATGTTGATTACAAAAATAATGTCTTCTACATGTTTATTGGGAGTCTTCTTGGTGCTATTTCATTTGTGCAAGCTGAATGAAAGTTACATTCTGAACCAGCATTGGCAGAACATTTGCACCCACCCATCCCCTCCCCATTTAGAACAGTAGAACCACAAACCTTTTGCTCTTTTTACTACTTTAACTAGCCGATAGCAGGGAGGATCTCAGATTCCACATAATTGACAAAATGATATAACCAACCACACTTTTTGATATCTAGTTTATTACAGGCACTTTGTAATTGCAAAGCTCAGTTACAGACCACTTCTGTACAAAAACTGTCATTTGACTTGATCTTTCATAATGAGCAGTTGGCCGATGCTAGACATTGATTCAGAATGCAAAAGAACAAGAGCCACGACACAATGCCAATAATACCCTGGTCATTTGCCCACTATGTTAATGGCATATTAAGCTACATGTCTAACAACAGAAGAATATTGAGTATATACTTAATTTTTACTGTAGCAAGTTTAAGGATAATTTTGGAAATTCAATGATGGACTACAAAAGAAAAAGAATGTAAAAAAGCCATCCACTGCCACTACCAAATCCAATATTTCTGATTTTAAGATTATATTGAAAAAACACTTAAATGTATAATTGCTTCGAACAGTTCTTGCAGTATGATTTGCTAGTCTTACACCCCCCTCCCCCCGTGGGAACTTGCTAAACTAAACAGTTTACGTTTGTATCTTCAGACTTGAAATTTGTCTAATACTCCTTCCTAGGATGTAATTTAACAAATTATACTTCAGAAAAAATAAAACTATTTTTCCCTCCAAAATCTGGCAGAGTATGATTATCTTCAATTAGTCACATTCCAAAACGTTAGTAGATATGTTTCCCTCCCACTAGCTGGAGGATTTTTCTCAGTCTCACCAAAAATATTCACTGACGTCTCAACTGAAAAGATCAGCACTTAGAAAAGTGACAGAAGTTGATGGAAATTTATGATCTTCGTTTCCATTGAAGCCCTGAAATGCAAGCATCTTAGTCTGCAGATCAGTTAACTAAACAGGCTCAGTTGCCATTAAAACAGTTGCTCATTCCTGCAAATGCTGACATTAAACGTGGTTTACCTGAAGAAAGATCAGAACCATTTATCACTCTACCACTGTCAGCAGTAGGCAATTTTCTTAGTGTAGAATGGGCCGCACAAAACACAACAAAGTTTAGGCAACAGAGCATATGCTAATGCACAAGTGATTGAGAACATCATCAGAAACATTCTCTCTGTGCAAGTCACGCGACATCTCCAGCTCAACGAGAATTTACGTTTGTCCTGTAGGATAGAAAACAGTATAACACAACTTTTTACTTCTGTCCTACAGCATTCCCATGTCCACACATGGAAAACAACATATACTACAAGCAAGGTTTTCAAATGAATTCAACGCTACCTTTCATTTTATGCTTGTAGTCGTTAGCAACTGAGAAAAAAATTCCAGCGTTTTTCTTTTCCCAGATTGCCTACTATAATGGTCTTACCCTGACCTAAAGATAAAGCTGCACAAGCCTACAGCAGAAGGGTAAACAGAATTTTATCTGATTGTCTTCTATATCAACCATTAGACTGACATTGCTGGTGCATGTTTAAGAAATTCCTACATTTTAAAACCTAGTCTTTACACCAATTTAAAGGGAAAGTCTTAATTTTTCTAAGTTATTGTTTTAACAAATATCACTAAGAGAGAAAATTCTAGACCATGTTCATTACATAGTAGGTACTTCAAACTGCTTAGAAATAACAGTAGAGATAATCAGAAATTGTAGATCTACAATAAAGAGCCCCTTCTATAAAGGTTTCCTACTTGAAGAACTATAATCGGTACAAATCTAAAAAAACTATACACTTAGAAATTTGCTTATGAGCTACACTAAAGTCAGTTGTTTTCTTCGCATTTGTAGTTATTTCTAAAGCCAAGTCCTTTATATATTGACTTACTAAAGTTTGTTTAAAATTATTTCTAACCAAAGAAGAATCATAAAAATCAACAACCGTGTCCCCATAACTTTGTCAGTTCATGTTACCTGTAATCACATTTTCTGATTAGATGAATGTTAATGGCCTGATGAAAAAGATTAGTCTTCTAACAAGCAGGATGTTCATCTTGCAAACCTCCTTCAAGTACCAAATTATTTGCAAAAATGGTTGGAGAGTGTTAATGTTAAAAATGAGACCCTTATCAGTATAACAAATAAACCCAAATAAAACCCCCTTAACAATATCAACAATTAGCTGAGATATGCAAACTGTTCCTTTCCTTATCTAAGACATAGTACATTCCTATATCTAAGATACAGTACATTTTTTGTCTTCGTGATATTCTATTATATACTCTGGGTAAATCTGATGCTTCTCAAATATGACAAAAATAGAGGGATCAGACTCTTTGTCCACACAACTATCATATAAGTTGATCGTATTAGTAGATTTTGATGGGGGACGAACATAGGTTGCATTTCCTCTGATGAAATCTCCAACCAGAACCCGTGCCACAAACATCATGTTCATTTTGGTAGTAGGAGACTGACTGTAAGCGTGGGAATAACTAGCATCTCTTGCAAAGTAACTTCCTAGAAATAACAAAGACAGCATAAGGATACTGGAAATGGGCTAGACTTCATACAGAGGCACAAGAGAATGAACATTGCATGATAATACATGATGGACCCAGCTCAAATTTCAGCAAAACTAAGTTCATGTCTATTCTCATTTAAGTACATGATAGTGGAAATGTCACAATGGCAGCTAAAGGTTTTGCTAGATGTTTCCTTTTAATTTCAGAAGGCAGGCAAGAACAGACTGGATAAGAAAGGAATGTGATAAAAAGTGAGGATAAAAAAAAGAGATGAGGATTATGGGAAGAGTGAAAAATAAGTATAATACAAGGAATCACCAGTAAGAAGGAAATAGCATAAGGGAAAAAGTAACTCTTGTCTTCCTACAAAAGGAGTTACCATTTACTTAACTCTGCTAGAACAGAGGTCAAGAAGATGGTAGATCAGGGGTCGGCAACCTATGGCAGGCGTGCCGAATGTGGCACGCGGCATGGTTTTGATGGGCAGGAAGAGCCATGCCAGATCGAACAGCCTTGCGCTGCTGCTGACCCAAGCAGAAGAGACTTGCCATCGCCAGCCCCCAGCCTCAGAACAACCTGACCGTGCCAACCAGAGAGAACACAAGAACATCCCACACTTCCTTTTTCCTGCACTATAAATACTTCCAAAAGCTGATTACCACTGTGACAATTACCATGGCAACGATATCTAATCAGAGTCACTTTCTACTTGCCTTTTCCATAGCTGGTTCCATGGACTCCGCAGATTCTCCAGTCAAAATTCTGAGTGCATATGGATTCCAGAAAGGAACTGCTGGTTCCATGGAACAGGAGCCTCTCGTATACATCCTTTCCTCTGTTGTTCTTCTTCATCTGCTCCTTTTGCCTGATGTGAAAAATATGTTGGTTAAAGAGACAGAATTCTCTTTGCACACACACATTTGCATATGTAAGACGAATGAGGTTTTCAGCTATCATTGTTTTCATTTCATTGGCATTCAGATTAGGGCTGCTAGTCTGAAAATAAAGGGCATATGAGGTAAAAGATAGAGAAGGAAAGAAGAAAATTAGTTTGGAGGCACTACCTGCATTTCCATTATCAGACCTCACATGGATTTTCAGAAACCATTTTACTGAGCAAGAGAGCAATACTGAACCCCTCAGAAATGGCTCAGAATTAAAGGGAAAATAGAAGCAGATAATCTACCAAAAAAAAAAAAAAAAAAAAAAGGAATATGAAAAAAGTGCAAAAACAAGAAGCCAAGCCTGGTTTTTGAGGTTTTAAACAGTGATACCAACACTGGTTCCTTGGTTAAAATGTCCTTTACTTAAATATGCCTTCATTTCGGTGGACTTTGTAGCTTCTGAAGGTTTAGAACAGGGCTCTCCAACTTCAGAGTTGCCTGAGCCACATGACTGTCCACATGGGCAGCCTCCACTGTGCCACGCTGTGGGCACCCCGCACCACTGCACTGTGCTAGTTCCCCCCACACAACACGGGCATTCCCTCTTATCTTCCCCGACAACTGCATTATGCTGGCACTCCAGGTCCCCCCAGACACAGACTTGCTCTGGGGTCACCCTGCACCTATCTATTCCCAAGGGGCGGGGGCAGGCAGCAAAAGCTGGAGGAGGGAGGGAAAGCCCAAGGACTCTGATGGCTGCAGCAGGAGAGTGTTGGGAGAAGCAACACTCAGACCAGGAGCCCAAGAGCTACAGTTTAAGCCCTTGGGGGGCGACCAGTTGAACAGCTTTGGTTTAGATTATCAGCTCTATCACCAACAGACTGTAACAGGGGACCTCTTCCCCCATTACTTGGAGCAAGTACAGCCTGCAAGGAGCCCAGTTAAAAAGATTGCAGCAGAACACTTGGCTATTATCAGCAAGCCAGGTCAGGTGACTGGAAGGGGAGGAGAAAGAGCCACATAAGCCTGAGTCTGGGGCTAAGGGTTCATACTGGTTCAGGACCTCACAGCAGAAGGAGCTTTGCAGATGCAGCATAGGGAGATGTAAGTTATATGTTTTGTTTCTGTTGTTGTTTGGGCTATACTGCAGGATCAGGTGTGTTTGTAGGGATGGAGACCACACAGCAGGGTGCTTGGGGCACACTGTGTTTTAAGCTGTGTATAGGGTCAGGGGAAGTGAGCTGGCTACAGCTAAGAGCACCCAGGCCTGGGCCCAAGCAGAGTGCACTGCAATGGAGCCAAGGACTCAGCAGATGGGTGGAGAAAAAAGAATAATGACCAGAGATACATTCTGTCATCTTAAGCTGGGGGTTTGGAAGCTGGCATGTGCAGCCTAGGCTGTGGCCCAGAGCACTGGGACAAAAACTACTGGAGAAGAGCTTGGAAGAGTAAGTCCCCCCCCAAAGGGCAGCCTGTATGAGATGGGTAGGATCAAGGGCCTGGAGGGCAGCTGGTCTGGAGCTGGGAGGAGGAGGAGAAGGCAGCTTAGAAGGGCTGGTGCTCCAAAGGCAGGTGCAGGTGGGGCTGAGGCAGAAGGGCCAATGCTCAAACCAAGTAACTAGAATTAGAAGGGGCCACAGGGTGAAGTGCCTTGGAAACACTCTCCACTGTGAGGGGCTAAGGACTCTACAGAGCCCTGCCAGGGTCTGGTATCCAGTTGGAAGCTAGGTACTAAAGCCTTAGTACAAGGGGCCAAAACCTGGAAGATCCAGCACATCTAGACAGGAGTGAGAGCCCTGGTCCGATTGAGGTGAGGATGAGTCAACTTGTAGCCTAATGATGAGCAGGGTGGGGCAAGGCACCAAAAGCCAAAATCTGGGTATCTGACGGCAGCCTAATGGTGCATGTGGGAAGAGGAATAGCCATATGCCTCTCAGGACAGGATGAGCCCAGCCAGAGCAGCAGGGGGCTCAGCTGCACTTAGGCAGGGGGAAAATACAGCTGAGCCCCTGCCACTCTGGCCGGGCTCATCCTCTCCCGAGCAGCACATGGCTCCGCTGCCACTTCTGCCGGCTGGTGCAGCCCCAGCCCGCCTCCTCCTGTCCCCAGCACCATGTGGTGATCCCACCGCTTCCCGGCCCGAGTGACTCGCCACTCCCCGCCCACAGGCGAGAGGCAGCCTGGCTTGGCCGCTCGGCCCCAAGTTACTGGCGGAGGTGGAGCGGCACGGGCAGGTGCCTCCTCCTGCCAGGCTGTCGGCATTGGCCGTGCCATGCAGGGCAGCCCTGGGCTCGGGCAGAGCCTGCGCTTGCTGTGCCCCGAGGTGCTGCCCAGCTCCAGCTCCCTCCAGCCTGGCTCAGTGATGTGGACCCGCGGAGGCGTCATGGCGGCTGGGCTTGCCCTCATTCTCTGCCTCTGCCGCCTCCTGCCCAACTGGGGCACCACAGGTAGGGCCGGGCCAGGCTGGGGTCGGGGTGGGAAGACGGCGGCTCCCCCAGGGCTGGGCCAGTGACTGTGGGCTCCCGGCACCTCTGTGTGGGGAGGGGGGAGGGGGATCCCTGCCTTTCACAGGGGAGGGAGCAACTCCATGCCTTTAACTCCCCAAATCACACTACTTTCCCATGTTCTCAAGCCACGCCTGGGTCTAATATGTAAATAAATACTTACAATAGATTAACAACACAAAAATACTCAGGATTTCCTCTCCTGAGAGCAAAAGGAAATGAAAATATTCAGGCTCATCAGTGACATATGGAGATCCTGTTTGCATGTACTCCAGTTAAGCAAATTTCACTAATTTTGGCATACCCCAGTCAAAGTCCCTAGCCTCGGCTGTAGCCAACACCTCTGAGGAAGACTTAAAAACACCCTGGCAAATACAGCAGAAAGGGGAAGGGTGGTGGTGGGGGCAACCAGCAATGCCCAGAAGCCTGAGAATTACCCATAGTAGAACATAGGCATAGATATGCCTAGATCAGGGGTAGGCAAAATATGGATTTTTAAGCCACATTTCCACACCCATTTCATTGTCACTTCCTGCAACTTCATTGGTGTCAAAGGTCACGTGACATCACTTCCTGATGTGATACCACTTCCTGTGAGCTCTCTGAATATGGGTCCCTGGCCCACTGGGTGATAAAAAGTTCGTGATCCAGCCCCACACTCAAAAAGTTTGGACACCCCTGCTCTACTATTATAGATAACTTACAATATTAAATCTAACAAATACAATGAATGTACCATCATCCCAATTCTGTCCCATTCACACATCCTTTTACTTTTTCTGGAAATGCTTTTAAGGCTCCCTACATAGGCAGCTGGTCTGCCATACAGAAAATATCCCATTTTCTAAGACAAGGCCCTACAGTAATTCACTAAGAGTACCACTTCAACTGATAGCTCATTACTTGCCAGAAGAGATGGATGGGCTCTTCTAAAAATGCCCATAAAAATAGACACTAGAACTTAGCTGTATTTGTACAGCTAAAACAATTTTTTGCATTCTATTTTGTGCAACTTCCATCAAAATTAATGTCAAACACCACTACACAGCCACAGGAAAGCAGGCCTTGGAAGTTAAGTCCCCATCTCTATTGTAGAAACCAGTATGAAGAAATAAATTGGATACAAACCACTGAAAGACTTGCCAAAGGGATGGGTTCTGAATCCTCTTCATACAATGGATAACATAACCTTTCATTGTCTGTTGAAACAGCTTCGCAATTGTAGCGTATTCAGAAGACTCTTTAGTGATCACCACAGCCTATAAAATATTAAACCACAGCCAAAGGTTATGCAAGAGACTCAACTGGCTCAAGGCACAACAGGTTAATATACTTTTAAGAAGAGCCAATGAGGACAAAGAATATTTTGAGTGAACTTAGTTCTGTTCTTGATCTGCAAACAGGTAGGACAGGCAGCGATTCATCCTGTTCTGCCACTGTACCTCAACTCTTTTTAGGGAAGGTGAGTGAATTATGTATTCAAAGCGCCCAAGTATGTGAGGATAAGACAGATATTCCTTCTAAAATCTCGAAGGACAGGGTAACCAGGAACATTAACTACAGATATGACTGCTTTAGTTTAAGAAAGCAGTTTCAAATGCAAAACAAGCTTTTATATGTTTTATTCTTCTTGGGTATCCAGGATATCTAGGGTATCAAAACAGGATTCAGAATAAACCAAACTACATTGCAAGAGTTAAATATCCAAACAAATGCACATTATACTGTATAACTGCTTAAATAAGTGTCCATGGACATTGTGCATCTTCCTGGTTAGCAAAAATGAGTGCCAAATTTACAATAAAGAATATATTTATTGGCATGCGAGGACCAAGTTATATATTTTTAATTTTCTTAAAGAATATTTAAATGCAACAAATCTAAATTAAAATATATAAAAATCTAAATTATATAAATCAAGGTTTCTTGCTAGCTTACACTAATGAGTTTAGATCACTTTATTTTTAACACCACATTCATGTATTAAATTCTATACATAGCAAATTTTAAGAATTTGTTATAGTTTTCCATGTATAAATCTAATGATTGGGGGTGTGGGTTGTCCTAAGTGCATGTCTGTCCCACTGCTATAGTGGGGAAAGCAGCAGCAGGGGGGTGGGTGGCCCTCACTCCCTGTTCCTCGGAGCCTGCCACAGTCAGATGCATCTCCAGAACTCCTTTCCCCTTGGGCATGGAGCACATGCAACTCTAGCCCATGCTAAGCCACACTGCAGCGTCCCAGGGCTGGAGCTGTGCCACTACTGACTGGCTGGGAAGATGATTAAGCATGTATATGCTCCATGCCTGGAAGGAAATGAGCTAAAGCTGTGCCTGACTGTAGGCAGGGACTGGGCTCAGGATCAGAGTCTGAGCCACAGCAGCTGCCTGCTTGCCTCCACTCCATCTTCTACTCAAATTCAAGATGAGGGGCTTCTCAAGTGGGGAGGGGCAGGAACTCATCTTGAATTCAAGTACATACAGTATATCAAAGGACCTTGGCCTTTTATCTGTTCAGGTGGCTACCTGTACACTACACCTGAGACTACAATCATTTGGTAACAACAGATCATTTGGTAACAACTTACATTAATTGCTCCTTAAGGTACATGTGAATCAAAGACTTGGAAGTGAATGACTCAACATCCCATGTGTCATAGGTGCATCTTAAAAAGGGAAGGTGTGGATATTCGGGGAGGTAATACAAAACCCACAGCTTTGCTTGTAATGATCAGAAATGAAAACTCAGCTATATCAATGATCTTGTGGGCCAATGAAAATGATTTCGCTATGATAACCTCATATGCTTGAAAAGAAAATTTATGTTGTAGAAATTGTTGTAGAACTGCATCCAATTTACTTTGATTCACCAAGTCTTTTATATAATTGTTAAAATATGCTCAGACACACCCTACAGATCAAAAAATAGCATTTAGAATAAACCAAGCTGTGTTTCCAGGGTTAAGTCTTTAGATTTATTAAAAAGCAGTATTTAAAAAGATACAGTAAGTGTCTTTAATACAAAAATATTTTAGAGAGCCACTTTACAATATAAGCCACTAGCAACACAGTACACAGACTAGATTAAAATGTACAATAGGTTGAGTTCAGCTCGCTCCATGGTACAACGTATCCACGTTCTGGTACGAGGATGGCAAATTCCATAGTAGCAGGAAGTAAATCGATGTCTTGTGGCACCAATTCATTTATCCGTGAGAATAAAAATACATTTGGGCTTCTCTTACTCCACCCATTCAACAAAGATATTCCCACCCTTTCTGTAGCCTCAGCCTCATCCAATGAGTCTTATTTTCACCTTCATCCTACTAACATTCTTGGGTGAAGTAGAATTCAGACTTTTTGTTGGCCTGGTGAGCACAGAGGTGCGACTTTTTTTTTTGTGAGAGATGATGAGCATTCTCTTGCTAACTGGTTCAGAGGACTTGCTGTTGTTGGTCTTGGAAGAGGAGATTTACTAATCTTTATTAGTCACATGGAATAGGACGACAAAATGGAGATGCTTGTCAATCTATCCAAGCCAGGCACAGCATGGACATACATGCTTTGGAAGCTCAAAAGAGAAGGATTCCCTCAGAACTAGAAATTTAGGAACATTGGAATCCCATTTCCATGTTTTTAAAGAACCCTGGCTCATCTTTAAAAGTAAAAGCTGCAGTTCTTCTATATAGTGAGCTTGAATGAAGGTAGTAACATGTCTGCCACCCAGAGTTTGTACCAAGAATCTCCTTGCTATGTTAGTTCAATTCCAAGCCTCCTACTGATTTCTGAAACCAGTTTCCTAGAACCAAATTCTATGGAATCTTCTTGCTGGCACAAACATAGACAGGAAAGGTAAAGATGCTGCTGCCAGAAAGTAGGAGGACATGAAGAAAATGTTGGTCCCACAGAAAATGTTTGAGGTGAATCCTATCTTGCCTATACATAACAAAACAATACTTTGGTTGCCAAGCAGCAGAAACACTAGTTCCAGCAAGCATTTATTTCACTGAAGTAATTCAACCTCTTATAAATGACAGTTCTGATTGTTTCAGACTAGCTAAATATCACTATACATGAGCTACAAGCCTGTGTTTGTTTGTTTGTTTGTTTTGGTTTTTTTACTGGTATCATAATATTTTGCTCTTCATTACTTTTTTTCTCTATAGATCTTAGAAAGCGCTTAAAGAGAACTAAGCATTAGTACCTTCATAATACAGGTAGGAATATATGAGAGAGAGAGAGAGAGAGGTAGGTAGGTTAAGCACGGTGTCAAAAGAAATAGCAGATAGCCGTTAACATTGTAGTCATTTCACCTTCTTTTAGCAGAGACATTTGTTCTGCATTACAAAAATCAACACTGCAATAACCACACAAAAGGAGGTAAAGCCTCTGACATGGAACATGCACAAATTCCATGTTAAGAATATCGAACACCAGCCAAAGGTGGTGTTGACAAGATCACAGTTCATCTGTTGCTCTTTGTTTCTTTTCAGCTTCTAATTCCATTTGGTCTCCACTGAATTAATTAACAAAAATGGAAAAAATTCACAATATCTGATTTCCTAACAGATAGACTATCAGTGTCTAACAACATATATATATTTAAGCCTTTCCCTTGTATAGAAGCTTTCATGTTGCAAAAAGGCTTTAGAGAATAAATACTTCACTGGCTTATGACAAGTAAGTAAAAATAGAGGGGCTTCTTCAGTTTTTTATGCTTCTCTTGAAGTGATTGTTTCACATGTAGCAAGATTTGCTGAAAGTTTCAATATCTGAACTGCAAGAAATTCATCAGTTTTGAGGCATCAGGTGTTATGAAGGATACCACACAGTAATGCAGATTCCCAGCCAGTCACAAAATAATGAAAGCAAGATTCACTACTGTGATGAGTGTCTTTGGGAATGTTCAGGCTCCGATCAGTGATACTTCTATCTGGACTGGATTTTAAGAGTGAATAATATTTCATGTTTTAGTATCTTCAGCCTTAGTAAACTCATGAAGCATACGAGCTTCTGAAAAGGGACAAAGGTAATAAAGGCAAACTCCCTCTTACCTCCCCCACTCTTCTTTCCATATGAAATGTACTTGGTTTAAAAGCAAAAAAAAAAAAATGTACTCTTCCTGAGTGGTCAACCCTGGCAACTGAGGTGAGGTTCTGAGAACAAAATGGGGTGCAACATACGTCCTGTATTGCTACCATCCCTTGTCCATAACCTGGTTCTGCAGGTCAGATACTGCCTCCAAATAAACCTATTGCATTTGTGAAAGTGTACCCAACTGGAATTTTGGCTATAATTTGAAAAGGAAAGAGGTAAGCACCCAAATTCCCACTGAATTTTAAAATGAACTGGGCGCTTAACTCTCTAACAATCCTTTGAAAATACCAGCCTTAGTTAACTATTCCAGTTTACCACTTAGCCATGATGGTCAGGCATAAATGCAGCAAGGCCCAAATCTTCAGATATTTAGGTACTTCACACTTATTTACCATGTCATTATCATCACTGAAATCAAAGAGATTTGGGTACCTTGGTACATTTGAGGATTGGGACCTAAATACTTATCTTTGTTATGAAGTCCCCTGATAGGACATGGATATGCAAAAGATTTCTTGAGTCTGTGGTGTCGCTTTTACATATTTAACTTTCCAACACAGAACAACTTAGAATTTTAAGTATTTAACAAATGGCTTTAGTGCAGGGTAAAAGGGGAAGGGGCTTCACTGCACATCAGGTGCACTCAGTGATTAAATGGAAGGTTAACACAGGACAGCTTGGCCTAGCGAAAGAGAGGTATGTCACTGTAATTTAGTTTCCACGCAAAAGGAATGTTCCCAGACAGTAACCACTGAGCAGATGAGATGCAGTAAAACCTGTCCCCTTCTATCCTGTGTATGTCTGAACTCAAAGGAATTTCTCTCCCAAGCTAGTATCAGATTCTGAGATACATATTTGTGTTGTGCTCCTTTTGCCAATAGTAATTAATGGTAAAAGGAACTATTCAACATGAGTGAGAGTATCAGAATCCTGTCTGTAGAACCTAAAAGACAGCTAAAAAACAACTAGACTAGCTCTTTTCTAGTTGTTCCTCACTGTAGCCCCAGCATTAGAATAGCTGGAGAACTTTGCTGCCCAACTGACCACAGTCAACAGCAAATCCCAAAATTCTTGTCACCATAGAGATAAAGCTACTGTAAAACCAACCTGAGAATCAGGCTCTAATGTCCACTGCTGCTTCTATACCCATCAGGAAGTATATGCCCATGCGATTTGGCCAATGCCAGGCAGAACTGACAACATATCCCAAGGTGCTGGACTCTGTCCTGTTCCTTTAACCGCAAAATCTCTATCAACCTAACAGTGCAGAGGTTCTCAAGGCGCCCTTTTTAGACTTGGGGCACCACTCGGAACATGCTCTTAGCTTGTCACCTTTTTACTGCAGTTTTCTCATTTTTTGCAATTCTTCTCTTGCAAAGAGCACTGAAAGACCACAGCAGGTCAGATTGTTTTTGACGCATTGTATCTGAGTTTCTATGTGAAATCTCCGGGTTTCTCTTGTGAATCATCTGTAGGTGTTTGCACACCAAACGATAATAATATTTCAAGGCACCCCATGGCACCCTTAAAAGGAGCTCACAGTGCCCCAGGATGCCATGGTAACCTTGGTTGAGAACCACTCCAATAGAGAGATTCTTTGCAATCCATCTATAGGAAAAATAATCAGACACCACTGAAACTGCTAGTAAAAATGTCTAGCTATCCAATGGCTCTGCATTTATTTGCTAGTTTTATTTCCTTGGGTATATATTTAATGTTAATCTTGGGTTTTTTTTAAAGGTATGAAGAGAGATATTTGACAAACTATGGGGAAGACAGTAAAGGTGCAAGTTTAGATGAAAATGGATTTAAATGCGTTTTTATAATCAACATCTCTTACTTTCTCCTATCATAAGAGACTGGTCTATGCGTGCATCTAAAAATGTGGTCCATTTAATGGTACTAAATGTCTTGGGATAGGTAATGGGATATGGAGATTTCTCACTTCTAAGTCACGGATCCAAACCTAATCCAGTAAAGACCATGGTGGCATTATCTCTTAGTTCTTTTCTTTGATCTATATGACAAGAGCTGGTAATCTTAGCTCAGTTCCTAATAAACAGAAGTGCATTTCACGAAACCTACCAACTCGGCACCCATAGTTCTAAGTCCATGGTCCAGATTTTTACAAACCTATTTAAGTACTTTAAAAATTCAAATGAAATCAATGGAAGTGAGGCCCATAGCAGTATCTTCAGAAGCCTATGGGCATTGCTTAAATTACTAAGTGACTGAATATTGTTAACAGTATGTCACTTAGGAACTACACGCCCAGGTTGGGAATGCTTCATCAGATGTGGTAATTAAGCCATGTCCTTTAGATTACTGTGTACTTCCATCACAAAAATAAGGATGCAAACAGCCTAATCTCATTTAAGGCAAAAGAAGAAAGCAAATACCTTGTACCCAGTGTCAGGCAGTGCAGATTTGTCCCAGTCTTTGGGATAGTTTGGATTTAAAGGAGTCTCCGCTTGGCTGTTTGCAAAATAAAAAGAAACCCAGAGATGAGTCTTTGTTATGTCTACTATTGCCTGGAATCTTCTCCCAAACTGATTTTTCCCCCAGAATAAGCCTTTTTACTCCCCTTTGTAAGAATCTCCTTGCAAAGGTTTCATTTTGTTCCCACAGACTGTGAAATAACTATCATTCAGGGAATCCTAGTTTCCAGTAGGAATCATTCCCCAATGACTTTTGGGTGTCACTTCTCAGTTCTTTACGAAGTTTTTCATGAAAGACGAGATCTCCATCACCAGCAACCTTGTCAGCTTTGACAGGCTGTACTACAGGAACTGGCAAATTCCCATTCAAATGAGAGTGACTGCATCATTGCACAGAGAGAATAGCATTGTTGCAGCCATCTAAAAACAAGCATTGTTTGCTATATCATTCTACCAAAGCATGCAGCTCTTCAAAACTTACAAGTGCAGAGTCCTCTACAGTACAGTCTACTACAATGGCAATCAGCAAAGCAAAACTCCCAAGACAGTCATAGACCTTCTCTAGTGACAGATGCTAGTCTACAGAGGAGTGTTTTGTTTCACAGTGAAATAAACAAGATCTAACATGTTGTCAAGTACCCTTTCTTCATCTTCTCCACATCTTCGGAAGACACAAATTTTGGCCGCCTGCGGACCTCTCTTTGAGTTTGATAAAGGACATTTCTCTGGACCATTTCTTGAAAGAGATGAAATGAAATTATTATTACTGCTACAACTATTATTTATTTAAGTCATATGCAAACACATTTCATACAGCAAGAGTTAGAAAACAAAAAAACCCACCATTTAAAAAAAAAATCAATTAAAGGGTACTTCTAAACTGCCTGCTTTGGAACAGCAGCATATACTGTTATCTCAAATTTCTGTCTATTCCCTGTAACCTCTTCAATTTCCCTGTCCCTCTAAAACATGGGTGCTCAGCCTCTAGCCTGGCTAGCCTGGGCCAATGCCCATCCACTCCATGGGGCTCCCCATAGATCTAGAAACTTGGTAGCAGGAAAGTGGTGCCAAGTACTCCCTCACCACCAAGTTTCTGGACTCATGGGGAGCCTCAAGTGCTGCACACTGGATTAGGCGCCTGATCCCAGAATGCAGGGCTGGGTGGAGGCAACGGTGGGTACCAGGGACCAATCCCAGCACCTTCCCCTCTTACCTTATCACACTGTGTCCCTGGCCAGGGCCCAATCCTGGTGCTCTGGGACCAGTGCCAGACCCCTGAAGACCAATCCTGTCATACAGGGGCAAGAGAGGGTGGTGCCAGGTGTCAGGGCCCACTCCCAGAACCTGGGGCAGAGAAGGGATAGTGCAGGGCCTCAGAGCCCAATCCTGACATATGGGGCTCCATCCAGCTCATGGAACAGCCCCACACCACCCATCTGGCCTGTGGAAGCCAAAAGGTTGAGCAGCAGTGTTCTAAAACTCACTTGCTTCCTCCATGTCACTTTTTATATTTTTGAAAGTTCACTCTAACAGCACAAATATGGTTTTTCCCCCCACAGTTTCCCAGTGTCTTTAAAGAAAGGCTCTTTCTCTTTTTTCCATTTTTGTTTTAGCTTCATTTAAGCCTGAAGTGGAGTTAGTGACTAGTATATAAGGAGGAAGATTAGTTTGGCATGGAAGACGGACAACTTCCTGCATGCCATCTACCCACACCCCACTTCTGCAAAACAGATATAATAATAATGATGACAGAGAATTGTAAGAATGCCTATGCTACTATGTTACTGTTTATAAAGCACTTAGATTTCCAGACTACAGCTGTTACAGAAGCGTGGCAGCTTTCAACTGGGATAAGTATTCTTATGACAAACTTGTTGGAAGCTTAGAATTAAGACTGCAGGATCTGACAGAAGCGGGGGGGGAAGGTGAAATAATGATCCCATTGAGTAAGAACCAAAGAATTGATAGTCAAATATAAGGCAGATGTGTCAAACTCACTTGCACCCCCACCAGATTTGAATCATGAGTTCCTTGTGGGCCAGATCCAGACCCCCCCAGCAGGGTTAATGGCAAGGGTGGGAACCACTGTCTGCTCAGGGAGCCAGGGGGGGTTAACACAACTGTTTCTTGGCCTGCTGCTCTCAAAATGTGTTCCTAATGGGACTCTACACCCTGAAATTCAACACCATGCCCACTTGTCTTACTCCTACATCCAGGCCCCTCCCAAAACCCCACAGACTGGATCATATGGCTCAGCAGGCTGTATGTTTGACACCCCTGCTCTAAGGGAAGTGTCTTCTTCAAAAACATTCTTTTTCCCTAGTTTGTGCACCTTATCAATTCTTCTCTGCTGAATTCTGTCTTTGTTCCATTGTGCAATCACTCTCCCTGAATACTTATTTACATTTTCTCTACTTTACAGATTGTGGATTTCTGTCTTCTCACAATCTTGCACCCTCCCTAGACTATGTTCCTCTTTCTGTATACCCATCAATCCAACCCTATGCACTGTAATATTTCTTCTCTGTAGTACTTCTCCCAGTAAAATACTCTGATTTGGTACACGAAAGTTACTCAAAATACTGTGTTTTCTCACATACAACACACAACCTTTTCCCAAAAAACAGCTCCTGGAAATTGAGGTACACATGATATGCAAGTAATAGGGCAAGAGCAGGTTTTGCCAGTTTACTTGGTGAAACAGAATGTAGACTCTGCAGCAAACCATTGTTCTACTTCCTATGAGCAGGTTCAGATTTCTAGCTCATTTACTACAGGAAAAGATTTTTTTATTCATTTTGTTTTTCAAAAATAAGGTGTGTTTATATTCTGGGGTGTTTTATATACAAGAAAATACAGTAAGCTAAGGTGTGCTCGGCAGTGCTATGTTGGCTAGCACTATGGAAGAAAGAGACTTGGGGGTCATCATTGACCACAAGATGAACATGAGCCTGCAATGCAATGCGGCGGCTAGTAAAGCGACCAAAACGCTGGCTTGCATCCATAGATGCTTCTCAAGCAAATCCCGGGACGTCATTCTCCCCCTGTACTCGGCCTTAGTGAGGCCGCAGCTGGAGTACTGCGTCCAGTTTTGGGCTCCACAATTCAAAAAGGATGTGGAGAAGCTTGAGAGAGTCCAGAGAAGAGCCACGCGCATGATCAGAGGTCAGGGAAGCAGACCCTATGATGACAGGCTGAGAGCCCTGGGGCTCTTTAGCCTGGAAAAGTGCAGGCTCAGGGGTGATCTGATGGCCACCTACAAGTTTATCAGGGGTGACCACCAGCATCTGGGGGAACGTTTGTTCACCAGAGCGCCCCAAGGGATGACGAGGTCGAATGGTCACAAACTACTTCAAGATCGTTTCAGGCTGGACATAAGGAAGAATTTCTTTACTGTCCGAGGCCCCAAGGTCTGGAACAGCCTGCCACCAGAGGTGGTTCAAGTGCCTTCATTGAACACCTTCAAGATGAAACTGGATGCTTATCTTGCTGGGATCCTATGACCCCAGCTGACTTCCTGCCCTTTGGGCAGGGGGCTGGACTCGATGATCTTCCGAGGTCCCTTCCAGCCCTAATGTCTATGAAATCTATGAAGGTGCTATGTGTTATATGGGTACAATACCTTTAAAACAGATTTGATACCGTTGAGAGCCAGTCTGAAAGTCTACAGTTTCATTTGGATCTGCTAGAAATAAATTCTCCAGATCATCAGAAGTTAGTGAGGAACCTCCGGGGTTTCCATCCTGTAGAATGGAAAAGATTTTAAAAAAAACCACTGGTTAAATCTATTTAGAGAGGACAAACTCTATATAACTACTTTTCTTCACTCCCTGATAAAGATGAGCAATGAATTCTGACCTCTGCTGGTAAAGTCATAGAATTTATATCATTTCTGTTTATGGTAGGGAAAAAAAAGACAAGATACTGGTCCTTTCTAAAACAGAAGGTTCTTAATTGCTAAATAACACATTTTAAGATGCCTAGTTACTCAATAAGTCCAAACCTAGCAAATGCTGTTAGGATGCACAAGTTAGTATGCATCAGAGGAGACTGGATTGCATACATCCTCACATAAGTGAATGACAGGGATCTTCAGGATGGCTTCTCACCTGTCTTCCATACTCAATCCACTGGCCTTGATCATTTTTCCAATACCAAATCCACTTTGTCGTCAGTATGAATTTTGGAGGTTTTGTAACAGATGATGGTGTAGAAAGGCGACGAAGTTCAGCAAAGGCATACATCATTTTTTGAAAATTGATGTTCTGAAGTGGTAAGCTATAAAAGATAAATTCAGAGAATTCATACAAGAATGAATGCTGCATATTTATTCTCTTTAGCCCAAATCCCTTCATACTATGTGGCCATCTGTGTTTAATGCTGCTTATAAAAGGAAGATGTCTTTTGCAATATGTACCTGTCGCAGACCACTGAGGTGCCCTGCTCCTAAAGAGGGGAAACTGCTAGGGAAAGAGCCCTAGCAGGGAATAAGGAGCCCAGCTGTGGGTTGCCAGGGCAACCAGAGGAGGTCAGCTGACCAGAAGGGGCAGGGCCTGGCTCCCTTATAAACCTAAGGAGCTGAGGCCAGAGGTAGTTCCCTGTCAGCAGCTAGAGAGGAAGGAGCTTCCTGAGCAAAGATGTGAGGAGAAGCCTGACTGCAGGTACAGACCAAGCCGGGTAAAGGATGGCAGCCCTGGGATGTTTGAGCAACGTGGTTTTAGCTGGGTGGCTTTAAGTTATGTTATAGCCTAAGGGCTTGTGTTTTGTTTTGCTGTTTATCGCTGGTGGCTTGGGTGAGGCTATTAGGGGTTGGAGGAGGCCTCATAGGGGACCCACAGCAGTGTGAGAACCCCAGTGCCAGCAAGGGTGCAGCACTTGGGGTGCACTGACCCTGGCCCCAGAAAAGGGGCAGTTGAGAAGCCCCAGAGAAGGGGGCGTTGGGGAGAAGCCCCAATGCGGGCGTGGTGAGCCCCGGAGAAGGGGGCAGCATTGCGGTGAGCCCCGAGAGCGGACGGCTTTACAGAGAAGGCCCTGCGAGAGGGCAGCAATACTGAGGAGGGGCAGCGTTGTGGAGAAGGCCCCAGAGAGAGGCTGTGGAGAGAGACGGGGCCACGGAGCGCCCGAGTGCCAGAGAGATTGTAGACCTGGACAGAACAATGTCTATTCCATCTGCAAGGCTTGGGGCATGGTATTGCGGTGGTAGGAGCCACGCATAGCCCCTAAGGCTGGGGTGCCCCTGAAGCACCCATTGTAGAGCAGGACCCACGAGGGGTCTGGAAAACCACGGGGTCGTAGTGTCCGTCGAGAAGTTACCAAGACGGCGTAAAAGGCAGCCTCCCTAACATATGTGAACATCAAAGATGTGGCGGGCAAGAATTTGAGGGTGCCCTTGGGCCAACTTGGCACAGAAAGGGGGCTTTGAGGAGATCACAGCCCTCCTGCAGGACCCCGCCGTGACAGTACTAGAACTACAATAGCTTCCCAATTGTTGGGATGTCTTGATTCAGGAACCTCAGATCCTTCTGACTGAACTGGTTTCTCAGTGTTGTCCTCACATTTGCAGTTACAAAAACTGTGGCCACACTTTTGGATTCTGCAGGCTGTACTTGGCCTTCAGGCTGCACTTTGAATTCACTGGCTTTTAACTCTAGAGAAGCTTTAAAATATAACTGGGGCTGGATTGGTTCCTGTTCTATTATGAAAAGTACTTCAGAAGTCAGCCTTCTTTGGAGGACACTGCCAAAAATACTTGGCAAATCCCTTTGCTTTCTAGATAGACAAAGTGAGAATATCTAAGTAACCACTGATGGTCAGACCTTGTCTTCAGACCCAGTGCACCATGGGTAGAAGGATAGGTCCTTCTAAGATGGAGCATCCCAACAAGCAATTAACAGGAAGATAAGGAAGGTAAGTGATCAAATTGGACACTCCCATTCTTTACAATAAGTGCTTCATAAAAGTGTCATGTGCATTTTGGGTTTTTTACTTTTTTAAAGTTGGAAAGTTAGAGATGTACCAGATACCACATACATGTCATTAATCTATAAAATTATAACCAGGACTGGCCCTAGCTATTTCACTTGCCTGGGGCAAAATATATATTGTTGTCCCATCCATCTCTCATATTCACATAGCTTAATGGTCAATACCATTAAAAGCCACTAACTCTTAACTCAGCTATGGAAATCCCCCCTACCCTCTCCTTCAATTCCACTACCTTCAGCAATTGCTCTGTGTAACCAAATGATGGGCCAGTCCTGATCTTCAACACACTGTACAGGTTATTCCAAACAGGCAAGCATTGTCATGGTGCCATCTGCTGTCTAGCTGTTCTCCATTTTCCTTTTCACATTTTATTTTCCCCCTGTCTTCTCCCAAATCCTGTTCACTGAAAAAACTCGCTGACATTCTTAAGAGGTCAGTAAAGATCTTTCAGCAGAAGTCTTCTCCATGGGTTTTAACATAGTACTACAGGTTACTCTTACATGGCTTAGCAAAAAAGGATCCAAACACCATGATACCTGCTATTATTTGGGTCACAATAGGCCTTTTCAATTTCCTCCATTTTGGCAAGGTCATTCCAATTTACTCCATTAAATACCTGCCATCGATAAGGCAGATGGTAATGAAGCATCCTGCATTTTTCTACAAAGAAAAGGGAAACATGGCAAAAGAATCATGCAACCTTAAAGCAAACCAATGGCAAGACAATGAAATTAACCAAAAGGCAAGCAGCAGCCAAATCCTTTTTATCCTCTGTCCTTTCCCTGTTTTTGATTTTTATGCCCATTTTATACTGGGGTAAATCAAGAGTTAATCCATTAATGTGAACTTTGCACTTGAGACTACCAGAGTACAAACATTTCCTCTCTGATTAGGGAAGCAGCATAAGCATGATTAATTATTGATTTTTAAGTCCTAGAATCCACACACATTTTGTTACCTAGGTATTGACTCTGGCGGAGCTGAAACCAGCAAAGTTGAGAATAAATTTGTTGACCAATCCCTTATGACACATCAGCACTTATCAAAAGGGCAGATATACAGCATGAAGCAACCAGGGAACCCTGGTGATATAGTTTTATTTTTATTTCTCCCTCAGTTTCTAAAGGAGTTTCGGGGTCAGTGGCATAACAGAAAATAAATATGGCTACCATCTGACACGCACATTCGTCTGTAAGGACCTGTTATAGGTACTGATATACATGATGGCTTCATAGTTGAGACAAAGAACCTGATGACTTCATGTTCTTGGGGGGTTTTTTTCTTCCCTCTTACTTTTTTAAAAAAAAAAAAAAAAAAAAAAAACTTTAAAGTATGATGTCTAATGCAGAAAGTATTCTAACCATGAAAATTCCTGTGTAATACCTCCTGCATTGAGCAAGTTCTGAACTGGAAGCCTTATCTCAGTCTTTGGCTATCCTCTCAATATCTTCACCACTCTGACCATCTTTTTGTATTACTGACTTGAGACCAATTGGGCACAGTTATCAGCTAATGTACTAAGACTCACCCCTACTAACTTAAAATGGAAGCTTTCACATCCCTTTAGTACCAGTCGGACACCAAGGGTAAGTTCTGAGTGATAGCAGAGGACCTTATTCAGAAGACTAACCTTTATGTTTGCAGAACTTCCAGATGTGGAACAGGCAAATCTCATTACATTTATTCACATCACTGCTCCTAGCAGTTTTACGAGCAGAGAAGGCTTTTGCAGCTGTGAGAGAGAACAGAATCCAGATTTTTATCAAACTTTATTACTCCTGTGTATTGGGCTGAGCCCTGTTACTGAAAGTAGGACTAGGCAGTAGAGTTAGAACAGTGGTGCTCAATCTTTCTGCCCCACAAGCAACATGAGTGGCATGGGGCTCATCTAAGGGTCAGATTCCCCTCCCTGTGGACCAGTCTGGCTGCCAGGAACCTGCCCCCCACCACCATTGGGATTGGGCCAGGAAGGCCTGGTGCCATGTCACCCCCCCCCCCCCCCCCCCCCCCCCCCCCCTCCCCGGCCCCCTCCCCCCTCCACACATGCAACACCCTTACCCAGGGGCCTGGCACTGCCCACTCCTGCTGCACAGTAGGATTGCGTCCTGGGGGCCTGGTGCTATCACCTCTTGCCCCCCTTCCACACCAGGATTGGGCCCTGTGCTGCCTCCACATGTGAGCATTGGGCCCTGGGGCCAGCACCACCTCCACCTGGCCCTGTGGGCCACATGACATGAGGGCCGTGGGCCAGATCTGACCTACGTGCCGGCAGTTAAGCACCCAAGTTAGAAAGCTACAGAGCCTCAGATAAGAAGTTCAGGAGGGGGAGCTAGGGGCTACGTAAGCCTTGCAGAGGCAGAAGCTCAGTCTGACCTGGGCAGAGCTAGAGGCAGGCGATCTCTACTGGGAGCTGAAGGAAGCAGAGTTGGGAACTGGAACCCAACTCGGACTGTGCAAGAAGTAGCTCCTTGCATAAAGCTGAAAAGCAGGACCAGAGATGAAGGGAACTATGCGTAGACCCAGGAGGGCCCAAGCTGACAGAAGCCAGTGGGACCAAGCAGGAGCCTGGGGAGGGCTTTTAGAAAGGCTCTCCCAGCTGCAAAATAATTGTAGTGGAGTTTTGCTCACTGCACTTTGAGCCCTGATGTATGGGATTGGCTGAAGGGAGGCCACTGAGGGTACTTGGGGACGGTAGTGCAATTGACGAAGGAGGCGTGTAGAGATCAGCTTGAGGGGCACAGGTCCGGTGAGCTGAACTGAACTTGAGAGAAATGATCCCAGGGAGAAAGAACTGAGGGGCAAAGGAGTCACTCTGGTGGACTGGGGCAGCCTCCCAAATTCAAAATTAACATCAAAGGTATGGCAAGTGAGCACAGGGAGGCACCCTGATTAACCAAAGGAGAAGAGACAGGTATTATAGTGGCCACCAGGAGGCATTGTATCTACCTTTAGTGGGGAGTCCCAGTTACACCATGCCAAACAAACAGCCATGGAAAACACCTTGCAAGTGAAAGAATTATAAAGACTTGATTCTCTCCATGTTATCTAGGAGACCATAAGGAGCTGCCTGGGCGTGGTGCAAGTCATGGCTACACAGCCCTCATTTCACAGAATCATAGAAGTAGGGTCGGAAGGGACCTTAGATCTTCAAGTCCGACCCCCTTCCTGGGCAGGAGGAAAACTGGGCTCAATTGACCCCAGTCAGGTAGGCATCAAGCTCCTTCTTAAAGACCCCCAGGGCAGGAGCCAGCACCACTTCCCTTAGAAGTTGGTACCAGATCCTAGCTGCCCTAACTGTGAAGTAGTTCCTACAGATGTCTAATCTAAACCTACTCTCCAACAACTTGTGGTCATTATTCCTTGTTTTCCGGGGGGGCACTAGGGGAAACAAGGTCTCCCCCAAACCCTTCTGGTCCCCCCCTAGTGAGTTTCTAGCCAGCCACAAGGTCCCCCCCTCAGCCTTCTCTTGTGAAGGCTGAACAGGTTCAGGTCCCGTAGCCTCTCATTGTAGGGTTTGCCCTGCTGTCCCTGGATCATGCGGGTGGCCCTCCTCTGGACCCTCTCCATGTTGTCCACATCCCTCTTGAAGTGGGGTGCCCAGAACTGGACACAGTACTCCAGCTGTGGCCTGACTAGTGTCACGTAGAGGGGGAGGATCACCTCCTTGGACCTACTTGAGATGCACCTGTGGATGCACGATAAGGTCCGGTTAGCCCTGCTGACCATGACCTCGCATTTCGGCCCATGTTCATCTTGGACTTGATGACTCCAAGATCCCTTTCTGCCTCTGTGCTCCCAAGAAGGGAGTTTCCCATCTTATAAGTGTGCTGCTGGTTACTACTGCCCAAGTGCAGCACCCTGCACTTGTCAGTACTGAAATGCATCCTGTTTTTGTTAGCCCACCCCTGCAACCTATCCAGGTCTTGCTGCAGTCTTTCCCTCCCTACTAACGTGCCCACCTCACCCCAAATTTTGGTATGATCAGCAAATCTGAACAGGTTGCTTTTCACCCTGTCGTCCAAATCGCTGATAAAGAAATTGAACAGTGCAGGCCCAAGGACCGAGCCCTGGGGGACTCCGCTGCCCAATTCCCCCCAGGTCAAATATGACCCGTCCACCACCACCCTCTGAGTGTGACCCTTCAGCCAATTAGCAATCCATCTGACTGTAGGCATTGATGCCACAGTCGCCTAGTTTTTTAATGAAGATGGGGTGGGAGACGGTGTCAAAGGCCTTGCTGAAGTCCAGAAAGACTACATCCGCGGTGACACCTGCATCCAATGCTTTTGTGACCTGATCGTAAAAGGCAATCAGGTTGGTCTGACATGACCTGCCCCTAATGAATCCATGCTGGTTGCCCTTGAGCACTATCCCCGATGCCAGCCCATCACAGATATGCTCCTTGATGATCTTCTCAAAGAGTTTCGCCAGGATTGAGGTAAGACTGATGGGCCTATAGTTGCTCGGGTCCTCCCTCCTCCCTTTCTTAAAGATGGGAACCACATTGGCTATCTTCCAATCATCTGGCACTGGCCCGAGCACCACGAGTGCTCATAAAGCCATGCCAAGGGCCCTGCAATAACCCCTGCTAGCTCCCTCAACACCCTGGGGTGGAGAGCATCTGGACCTGCTGATTTGAACACGTCCAGCCCCTCCAGAAGCACTCTAACCCAGTCCTCCTCAACCTTAGGTCTTGAGACATTCCCCTCGAGTCCATCTTGAATCATTTTAAATTGCTGGCATTAAGGGCAGGGGGACAGGAGGAGGGAAAAATGCACAACTGTAAAATACTATATAGCACAGGGAGTGGTAACTTATGGCCCTCAGGCTGGATCCAGACCTCAAAGATGTTAGATCTGGCTCAGGAAGGTCTGACCTGGTTCAAGGCAACATGGGGATCTGGGATGCAGGGAGCTGTGCCAAGCCACCTGTCCTCTCTGCAGTACAGGCACCTTCAGCTCTCAGGGCTGAGAGGGAAGAGGGACAGAGACTTTCAGCTCACAGCAGGGAGGTGGGTTGCAAGCTCTGGCCTGGGGCAGCAAAATATTGCTGACCTCTGATGTTGGGCATTGTAACTGCCATCCTAATGAGCTGCCAAGCCACCCTTTGAGGGGCTAATGGAAAATGGATGAAGGAAATCTCCAATCTCAAGAGTGGGATGAGGCACTGGGGTTCTGCAACAGCCTCTGGTTCCTGGAGATCTAGAATATGAGACTCCTGGAAGCAAATCAAACCCTCATCTGTGCTCCAGTCCATTTCTCAGCTCCTGTAGCAATGTTAGCCCTCCATTATGCCACTGTAACTGAAGTCGGAACACTAATGACAAGCAGCTTTTTGGACCACACTCTTACCCAATGGACTTCAATTAAATCAAGCTATTTTTTTTGCCAGCTGACAATCTGGCTTGTAATGGCCAATGCAAATAAAAAAGGCAGGGTAGATGTGCATCTTATAGACTGAGGTGGGCAGTTGTTTCAGCTGGAGGACCACTTCACAAGTTTTGGTGAGGCATTGGGCACTGCAAAGATAGCCCCACCCCTTGATGGGTGCCCCACCCCAGTCACCATCTTGTGACCGGAAATCCTTCCCTCCTAACCTCTGATCTTTCTCCCCTCACCTAGGAAGTACTCCTTCTGGAGGTGGAGGGGTGTTCCTTGTACATTGTGGGTGTAGGGTGTGGTTGGGGGGGTGTGGGTGTGCGTGTATGGTGCAGGTGGGGTGTGTGTATGTGTGGGTGTGGGATGTGTATAAAAGGTGTGTGTGGTTGTGGTTGACAAAGGTGTGGGGTATGTGGGACTCTTACATGTATGGTGGGGGGGGTGTGGAGTGTAAGTGTGGATGTGTGTAGTGGATATGGGATGTGTGTGGGACAGTATTGGGTGTGGGCGTGGGTGTGTGTGTGGGTATGGTAGGGGTTGAGGTGTGTGGGTCCGTGTGGAGGAATAAGTTCCTTTTTGTTGATGAGCCTACAAGCTTCACTTCATAAATCTACTGGATACAAAAAATCATGACTTAATATAGACATTGGATTTATGACACATTACAACCTGCCTCATCTGATTCACCAGGTACCTGCCTGAACTTACCATTTACACATTTTCCCCCTACTTCCTGTCCTCCCCTCCTTTTCTACCCTTTGTCTTCCTAACTTCCACCTATTTACTTTTGCCCAGACTGCCTCTTTTCTACCTTGAAGAACTCTTCTAAACTACAGCAGTCTCCCATGCTTACCTTTTTGCATTCCTTCACCCACTATTTCCTCTTCTTTTTCCCCTCTCCCTTCTCACTTTCACTAACTGACGCCCCCCCCAGTCACACTTCTAGCTTCTTTCATTCCTTGGAGATCTCAGAACACCAGAGACTTCCTGTGATGGAGCAGCTTTAGTACTCCAACACTTTAAGGGCTGGAGCATGCAGCCGGCTGGTACCTGATTAGGTTGGCTATTTTAATGCCCAGCTCTCAAGGCTGAGCCAGCATGGGAGGAACATCATCCTGCTAAGCTACCACTCCAGGAACATCTCGGAGATAAGGGTCGGGGCTATGGGGAAGGAGGAGGCCCCTGGTCCTGGGCATGACCAAAAACTGCACCCTGCTGGGGTAGGGACACCTTGTGGGACTGCCTGTGGTGGGGCAGTGTCACTTAAATGCTGGGACCATGAACCTCTCCAGTGAAAGGCAGGTAGGGGCACATAAACCCCAGCCCCCACCTTCAGGTGGGTATAGTGAGTGAGCAAGGTGGGGCTGGGTATGCTTGCAGAAGCTCCTGAGTCCTAGAGGGGTGGAGGAACCTGGTGAAGTGGGCCAGGCAAGCTGGGAAGCAGCACCTGAGACTGCAGGGGTGGAGGACCCTGAGCCCTAGAGAAAGGGCAGATTTGTTAGGGCCAGGTATGCTTATTGGGAAAGACCTG